ATGAATATATGTACACATAAATATATAAATATATATATATATATATATATATATATATATGTGTGTGTGTGTGTGTGTGTGTGTGTGTGTGTGTGTGTGTGTGTGTGTGTAGAGTGCTCGTGCGGCAGAATAGCATCATACTTTCCATCGTACACAGGTTGGTTCCATAGATTCTACTCTACGTACCTTTCCGCTCGTTGGTGGAAGTGTCGTTCTCTCCGTCTGCATTGACCATTGTATTGACTTAGACTCACTGGGTACGTCTGCGTAGTGCTGATGGAGACTGAATAGTATCACGAAACTCACGCTGTGATGAAGTGGTTGTGGTGTTTGCAGATGCAATGTGCTGCAGTTCTATCTAACCCCGCAGAGTAAACTGGAGCTCCTTTATCGCTTCGATCTACAGGGATCACAACGGTTTTATTATGCTATTTCTGTTCAATTTTTGGAAGAAGGCAATGCTATTTCCGAATTATCGATTTCAGTTTTGGACTATTTCTATACCTCCACCAGTTGTTCATTACAGTATTGGCCAAAATTTCTCTACAATTTGGAATACCCTTCCTATGTTCTATTTTCAGAAAGCTATGAATTGGGTTTGGAATTTATTCTGAACTCCAGAGTTTACACAACAACAACAAGAGAAAAACAGGTTTATGTCCCGCTATCCCAACGGACCCAACCCCACAACTTTCGTATCTAAGGAAGAATATCTAACCCTAAACTCTAGACCCTAAAAGTGATAATAATCCTGTATCACATTTCCAAAACAGAACATGACAGTCCATATGACCATCTGAGTAATAAGTAAAATAAAATACGTCTGTCGAGATGGACATGATACAATGACCTGCGACAAGAGTGAAGATGAGCAAGTCAGGGGCACTCATCCAACACATTCGCCTGCAACTAAATAGGAGAGAATCGAGTTGGTGAATCAACGTGCCGGCGAAACGAGAGTCATGGCGAGCTTAGAGACTGAATCTTTACTTCCAGCTTATATCCATGCGGATTCAAGTGCGGAAGCTAATAATGATTCGGAACTGCTGACTGCCCTGACGGGCTCAGCGCAATCACTTCCCGTAAAGGAGAGGGCTCTTGTGTGTGCTTTGTTTGTAGTTATACAATGTTTGCTTAATTATGACTCTGGTGCCATAGCCGCTGCTCTAGATCGGTTGGCATCTCCAGAATATTTTGATATGACTCTTACGGAGTCTGGGCTGCTGAGCTCACTGATGTATCTGGGACTCTCTGTGGCATCTTTGATTTCAGGTATTCTGATTTGCACCAGTAGTAAGTATGATGATTTGCACTTGAAATGATTTTCTATATTAGTGATTCTGCGTTATAACAATATATTGGACTGATAAAATATGTGTGTCGTTAACCGAGGTTCATGTGCCTCTATAAAAATATATGATATTACAAACACTCGATTTTTAATATATATATATGTGTGTGTGTGTGTGTGTGTGTGTGTGTGTGTGTGTGTGTGTGTGTGTATGTGTAT